CAATATGTTGTATCTTTTATAATGTGATTATTTTTATATATAAACGCCTTGATGATAATAAAACAAAAAGTGCTATTAATCTTTCATTCTTATATAGAAACTACTGGAGAAAAAAAAAACTTACTCTTTTTATTTTATTTTGTTTTCATTAATTCATTTTCCTTTTGCTTAGTCCCTTTATTCATCCCTGGTCGCCACAGCGGAATGGACATATGATTTAAACAGCGGAAGCCCTTCCAGCTGCAACCCATCACTGGGAAACACCCATACATACTCATTCACACACATACACTATGGTCAATTTAGCTCTCCCGATTCACCTGTAGCGCATGTCTTTGGACTTCTGGGGGAAACCAGAGCATTCGGAGGAAACCCAAGCCAACATGGTGAGAACATGCAAACTCCACACAGAAATGCCAACTGGCTCAGGCAAACCAGAGACCTTCTTGCTTTGTGGCGACAGTGCTAACCACTGAGCCACTGTGTCACTTAATTTACTTTAGTTTAATTTAATTTAATTTAATTTAATTTAATTTAATTTAATTTAATTTAATTTAATTTAATTTAATTTAATTTAATTTAATTTAATTTAATTTAATTTAATTATTTATTTATTTATTCATTCATTCATTTCATATGTACATCTGTATTTTTGTTTCAGATACTGCCACGTTGTTGTACATAACTATAGACAGCATAAGACAGTAACAGATAGATAGATAGATAGATAGATAGATAGATAGATAGATAGATAGATAGATAGATAGATAGATAGATGGATGGATGGATGGATGGATGGATGGATGGATGGATGGATGGATGGATGGATGGATGGATGGATGGATGGATAGATAGATAGATAATAGATAGATAGATAGATGGACAGAAGGAACAAGAAAGAAGATAGATAGATAGACAGACAGACAGACAGACAGACAGACAGACAGACAGACAGACAGACAGACAGACAGACAGATAGATAGATAGATAGATAGATAGATAGATAGATAGATAGATAGATAGATAGATAGATAGATAGATAATAGATAGATAGATAGATGGACAGTAGGAGCAATGAAGGAAGATAGATAGATAGATAGATAGATAGACAGATAGATAGATGATAGATAGATAATAGATAGATAGATAGATGGACAGAAGGAACAATGAAGGAAGATAGATAGATAGATAGATAGATAGATAGATAGATAGACAGACAGACAGACAGATAGATAGATAGATAGATAGATAGATAGATAGATAGATAGATAGATAGACAGACATAATTAAATGGTTTATATTTTCTAATGATATTTAAGTTTGTAAAGTATGTAGTATGAATGTTATACTATATTTTGTCATTTTAATAATCTAATCAATCATTACCAAAATTCTAATCACTCTTTCCTCATTCTAAGGAGGTTTCTGAAAAATGAATAAGAAACATCTGGAGGTGTTTCCCCTGTAAATGATATTTCCTTGTCTCTGTCAGTGGATGTGAAGTCAGCTGAGCTTCTGCCTAATGACTGCAAAACATCACCTTCTGCAGTTTCGCTGAACACACGGGGGCGCCGGAGCTCCACCAGAACAGCAGGACTACAGGAGTCCGACACAGCGCCTCTCCAGCGGTCAGATTCAGCAGACCTGTGAGTGGGTCTTACATGACTTTTGAGACATTTTAAAATGTTTTTATATATATATACATATATTGCGTTTTACATAGCAATTGTTTAAGCACTATGCATGCATTAAATATAATAATGCTTTAATATTAATAATAATATAAATTGTCAAATAAATTACTACCATATATTATTGATAATAATAATTATCGTTACAGCCAGAGTAATATATAAAATAATATGTAAATATTGTATTTTCACATAAAATGATATCATATTCAAATAAAAAATGTAATATGAGTGAAATAAAAATAGATGAAATCTGGGAAATTTAGATTTTTATTAAATTTTTTTTGTTTATTAAGCATCATTTATATATTTATATATTTGTATTTACTCATTATTTATTAATCATTGTATCAAATTATTAATCAAAGTATGGGTGTTTCCCAGTGATGAGTTGGAGCTGGAAGGGCATCCGCTGCGTAAAACATATGCTGGATAAGTTGGCGGTTCATTTCGCTGTGGCGACCCCTAAATAATAAAGGGACTAAGCCAAAAAGAAAATGAATGAATGAATGACTACATTATATATCAAATATATTTCAACACCATACTACATTTTGATATGATCACATACTCCTATATACTGTATATAAACATCTAGATATTATATAATAAACTTATTATTAACTAAAATATGGGTTTAATATGCACAAGTTTATTTAACAAAGTGAACAAAACCAAGTATATTATTACTGATTATTATTCTGGTTATTTTAGAGTAAAAACAGACTGATGGAAAGTGTGTGTGCGTGTTGCAGAGGACATTTATTTCTCAGACTTCTCTTCAATGAAATATTTACATATGATTGGTCGTCACCTCAGGCGTTGAGCTCAGGGTGTGAATAATCCACTCATCATTAATTTACAGCACATTTTTATCCCCATATGCTGAGATTCAGAGGCATGTCAGACCTGAGAAAGAGAAGAAGAGAAACACACTGTTGAATAATAGTGAGACTGAGACAGACAGCAGACATGACGGACCACATACAATTCAATTCAAGTTATTCAATTAATTGTATAGCGCTTTTCACAATGATTATGCATTCACATTAATCAGACGTCTAACAATTCATATACAAATTAATTTAATATAGGCTACTGATGATGATGATGAGACAGGCAAAACAAGCAAGTTTGGAAATTGGCAAAACAAGCAAGTCTTGATTGAAAGTCTTGCTGTTGTTCCAAACCTTCAGGAGTTTCTAAATTATGAATAAATAAATAATAAAACATTACGTATAATACAATAACATTTTAATATTATGTCTTTTTTTACTTCTTCTTTGTATTATTTTATTATAA